CTTATAGAACGCCGAAACCGACACGGGAGGGCGCCCTCGGGTTAGCGTTTTATAATATAAGACTAGCTGTAAGTGAAACTCGGGGGCCCGTTGAGTCGCTGAAAGTGAGTACCGATTTTGGAGTTAGTGTTGCAATAATAATAAAAGTTTAAGTCGAAAGTTTGAGGAGGTGATAAGGATTGGTATTTTTTGCAAGTTATTGAACCATAATTCATTCCTACGTATTTGTCTGGTATACGACAATTACATGTATAATATGTATACCGTCACTCCGTAGTGCCACAGAATGAAACAATGTGTTAGGTTACATTATGTATAATATAACATCGGTGAATAATAATAATTATTGAATGCTTGATATATTGTCAGTGTTAAAAGGGGTGGATAGTGGGTAAGTTTTTATAATTCATGTATGTTCATTATACTTTGCATTGAGTAGGTACATAATACATCTATTTGTATGGTACAGCAGTTAGGTGTAGCATTTGTTGTTAATCTAACCTAACCTGGGTACGTTATAATATAATATTGATGGAGAATGGAGATACACTAACCAAAACAATTACTATTTTCGCAAACTATGGTTTATTTTAACTTATCAAATAAAATACACATTAATGTTACACACCACGAGTATTAAATTGCTTCAAATGAATGGGTTATAAATTTAGTTGACGTAATACCCCACACAGCAAAAAAACATTTCCTGAATATAATAAAAATATTTTCAGGAAAATTATATAGTTGTCAAAATATTTTTTGATTATTGTTAAAAAGTTGCGTAAATAATAAGGAAATATTGTAATAATATTTTTTGGCCAAGAAGTTCATATTTGGAAAACATTTTTAAACAATATTTATAAAACATGATAACCGTATATTTTTAAAATATTTATGTTACATATTTTAAGAATATTGCAAACAATATTTTCAAAATATGAATTTGTTGCTCAAGAAATATTAGTAAAATATTTTGAAATTATTTACACTACTCTTAAAAAATGTTTAAAAAATATATTAATTATATTAATATTTATAAATCATAAGATTATTTTCATATTCATCTTACTCTTTTTGAAAGATTTTAGTGATATATTATAATTTTTTGAATACTTATTGTACGCGAATAAATAAACATGAATAATATAAGCAACTTCTTATAGTAATTTATTGTATTCAAATAATTGTGTAATATACAATATTTAGTTATAAATGCATCCCTACATTTTTGTATAGATATAGTTTATAATAAATAACATATATTCATAATTAAAAATTTTTTGCTTTTGCATGTTCTATATAATAAAAAAAAAAAGTATAAAAGATTTTACATATGCAATATAAAAACATATTAATAAAAAAAAAATATAGTTATAGATATATATAAATTGCATTAGCAGGTAAAATAATAATATTATATTAGTAATGTAAAGTAGGTAGTTTAGTAACTTTAAAATAATAATAAAAAAAATGAAATGTATGAAAACTATCATAGGTAATAATATTATAACACATTAATAGTAAAAAAAAAAAAAACATTATAAATGCTTTTGCAGGTAATATAATAATGCATATTAATAATAATAATAATTAAAGAAAAATATGATTTCCCATGTATGTAAAATAATAACATAATATTAATAATATAAACAAGTGACTTGTCAAAGATAAAAAAAAAATTATGTTAATAAAAAAAAAAAAAGTATGAACGCTTTTGCAGGTATACCTATAAAATGAGAATACACCTTAATAATAATAATAATAAAAACAAATAATACATTATAATGGTACAATTTAAACGGTTTGCATCATATTATCTTGTTTTTGTTTTTTTTTTTAAGTCACGGAATTTAGCTCCGGCTAAATATTCTTTGAACGGCTTCTCAATGATTAAAGATGGTGTATCTTTGAATTGTTTAATATTTCTTATTGCATCTACAAAAATATAAAACAAATAGAAACATCATCACAGGATTAAGACCTTATCAACCTTATCTTCATCAATAATAACAAATTAAAAATTAAAAAAATATTTTATACGGAAAAAAAGGTAATTGTATTCAAATTATAATGTTTATTTATTATTAATGTTATTCAACAATGAATACGTATTGGTTTTACAATGATGAATTTTTTTTTGTATTGTTTGAATATACTTTTTGAAGAAGAAAAATTATTCAGGTTTTCAATTTTAATAATGATGCGGTTTCTGCTAAATATTTAATCTTGTTTGTACTTGGGATAATCAGTATTCATCTAAATAATCAAAGAAGAAAATAGTTCTAATCACAAAAAATTTTACAGTTTTACTCAAATTCCGCTTCATTTTGACAAAATCAAATTTGTTTTTTATTGTAATTCAAAAATGGTCAACCATATTATAGAATTGAAATGTTTACCACACATTTTTCATTTTTAAAAACTTTTTATACATTATACAATTTTAAGTAATAATAATATGCTTGAAAGTTTAATAGAATTAGATTCATCGCAAGTTTTTCTTACAGAAATTAAAATTTTTTTTAAATCGTTTTGCTAGCTATTTTATAGTTAAAAATGTATTTAATTTATTTGGGTGTACAATGTATATTATTATAATTTGTATTTAGTAATAAAATCTATTCATATTTGACATATTTTTGATAATTTAGATGTATATATGTTGTCTTCAATATATACATTAAAAAATAAAATATTTTATTTTTCTTACCGAATATAACTGTGCAGGAATTTAAAATAGAAAATGATAATTTCTTTTTTTGCCCAACAAATGAATACTTAGATAAAACTTCGTTAATAAACATTCTAGAAATAATTTGACGTACAGTCTCTGATACAGTATTTCGCACCATTAAACTAAGATCCTTAACCTAAAAAAAAAAAAATCCCATTATTATTATCAATAAAAGTGGTTATATAAATAAATTTATTAGAACAATTACCATTCTCAATCGAAATGATTTATCCAGCAGCTTTTCTTCAAACAATTCAAGTTCCTCCAATGAAGTAATTGGAAAATTCCATAATATAGCACTACTTTCTTCGTGAACATCACGGAAGTCTGCAGACATGCTTAGGCGTGCTTCATTCTCGGTCGCTTTATTCTCTAGACGATCCAATTTGATAAGAATTTCCTTAATGTCATACTTTAAGGAAACTACAGTACGATAAAATTTGTTCATGAAATCTAAAATTTAATAAAATATTAACCAATCTTACATACATATTTTATATATTTACTAAAAATGATACAAATGTAATCAAAATATATATTTATTGACCAAAAATTTGATAATTGTGTATACCTGCAGAAGATACTAAATCATTTCCTGATTGAACAGTATGGGATGTTGAAGCATTGGTTTTTTTTGTAATTTCTAGAGTTAAAATAAAAGTATTTATTTGTTTAACATTGACTAGGTACTTGAAAAAAATGAATATACTTGAATGTACAGATTCTCCAATGTTTTTGTATAATAGAGGTTCAGAATAGAAATCCAATTTCTTTTTACAGTTAATAGTGGGTGTTAACTTTACAGGAGTTACAGTCCAAGTTTTAGGAACAGGACTGGATGTTTTTTGTATATCAATAGGATACAAGTTGTCAACACTTGTGTTCCAGTTAATAGGAGATTTATTATTTTTAATACCTATCAAAATACAAAAAAAAACATATAATATAATAGGTTAAATAATAATTGCTATAAAATATTATCACTCTAGTTTCCATTATAATCAAAAATAATATTATTTCAACGATTTAATAAAATATAATTTTAATAATCATCTTACTATTTATTATTTTTAAATTATTTATATTCAGAGAATGAAATTATTTATAATTTATTTTTTTATCCAGAAAGAAGCGAAAGTGATTCTATGATTAGTTTTTAATTATTTGAATAAACTAGTAAATACTTGATTTTAAGTCTGAATCACTAGTGCCCTGATGAATGAATGAAGTACCACAATTGTTATCTTCATCAGAATATACAATATTACACTCACTGCTACTACAATTATCTAACATTCAAAATATTTTAAAAATAAATAAATTATAGGTACACGCTAATTTACAATAACTAAAGAGTAATTTAATAATATATTTCATTATTAACATTTAAGCTCAATTGAGTCACATCTTGTATGATATTACCTTTGGCTTTTTTGTATTTATCATAAGATACTTGGTTCATAATTTCGGTCTTATTACTTGTAGTTGTTGAATTGCTGTTGTTATCCCCTACGTTTTTGGAAAAAAATACAATTAGAAATATCTATATATATTCAAATAGCCTATTTATGAAAAATAAATATATTAGTATTTACAACTATATTACCAAATTTATGAATAAATTTAGGTGGACTCTTGAGAATTGAGGAGATTTTATTCTTTGGATGTATCTTCATTGTAGTTTTTTCATTAACAATATTTATATGATTGGAATTATTTTTGATTTGTTTTGACTTTGATTTACTAATGACTTCGTTTTCAAATGTTGATAATTCAGAAGTATCCTCAGCTTTTTTTAACTGTTTATATGCCTTGGTTAAATTACCTTATATAAAAATAATCAAATAAGATTTTTCCTGTGCTAATATAATATAAGAGCTTATAGTTACTTATATCAGAAGCTAATAATCTTGCTTTAAAGAAATTGAACTCAAATTGATTTGGAGAAGCGCGTCGTTCGACGAGTAATCGAGGATTAATTTTATTTACACTATTTGGCCATGCACATAAATTATTTTTATACCAAAAGTTTGGGATACATTCAATGGTATTTTCTTCAGTGAAACATACTATGGACCACATTTTAATACAATCTGCAGAAAAAAAATTAGAATTATTATCATTGTGGTAATATATCTTAAATATGTAGTGTATACCTACATTCCATTAGAAACAATCAAACAACTAATAGATGGATATGATCATATAATATAATGGAATGATAAAAATTAATAATAATTCAATACAAAAATGAAATATATACTCTGTATGTATATTGAAACTTACATATTAATTAATATTGTATTAACTTAGTTGATTAAAATAGATTTTAATAAAATACTTTTGATGAAAAATTTAATATTTTAAAATGGTTTTAGACTAACTTTTAGTATTTAAGTACCTATAATATTAACAATGATTTGTATGTATTATAGGTATAGCTATCTTTTTTTTATCTAATGTATCCACTAGCATAATTTTTTTTTTAAGTTCTTCAAAATAAATTATGCACATTTCTTCTGATAAATTGTCTACTTCATATATATTAAAAACTTCTGAATTGATTGGTTGTTCATAATATGGTTTTTTTGATAAAAATTTTTTTCCCATCAATACTGCAATGTTAATGTTTTTTATGTGTGCAACATTTATCACTTTAACTACATCATTGCTTCTAGTTAAGACATAACAGTCAGCAGCTTTTGTTGTTTTAATAACCATACCTTTCAAATGTACAGTACTATATTGAGGTCCAGTTAAATTTTCTAAAAGTGGTCCATTTGTATGCTTTTTTTTAAAATCCGGTTGTTTTGAAGAAATATTTTTCTGACTTACTTTAAACTCTTCAGCCTGATTAAATTCTTCATTAAATCGTTTCACTAGCTGTTGAAGAGGTAGCTCATGTTTTCTTAACTTCTTTTTTATATTTTTCATGAAATTCTCAAAGGGGAATGCACTTATATTGTCCAAAGGGCCAAAACGATCATAATCGTCAGCAATATGAAGTAGACCATGTACATTGTGGGAAACTAAATGTTTACCATAAATTAATTCAAAATTTTCAACAAAATACTGTAAAAGGTTTCTAGCATAATCTACATATTCACTAGTATTTGTACTTAATAATATAACCATAGCAATATTAAGAGTCATAAAATGATTGAAACAATCTTCACTTAAAAATGGTTTAAACACAACTTGTCCAGTATAAACCAATAACTGCCTGAACTCAGTAGCTTTAAACCTTGATACTTCACTCAATGCTCTTGGTTTTCGAGCAAACTCGCAAGGTATATTAGAGCGTAACAATAGTAAAAATTCTGATAGTTGCTTTATTACCAAACTTGGTAAACGGACATTAAGTGTCCCTTTATGCATCCACAAAGTGATTAATTTCTTCATAACTCCTAAACCCAATAAACATAATTTTCATAATGCATCAGAATATATATTTAATATAAAAAGTTAAAAAACATAGGTACTGAAGTGTCTTAAGAAATATAATATTATTTTAAATATCTTTACTTTAAAATTATATATTTTTTTAATATATGTAATATTGTATTTCTGAGTAGTCATTACAGTTAATAAATAAAATATATATATACCTAAACAGGTTAAATGCATATAATCGAGGCTAATAGAAGATACAAGGTCTATATCTGGCAATCCTGATAAAATAGATATAGTATCTCCAATATGATGGTCTTCAAACTTTTTTGTAATATAGTCGATATGTGTTCTTTTAATTTGGCAACTAGGTGAATATGGAAAACATGTACGATTTTTGATGTGTTCACCTTCTTCAATACACCTAGTACATGAATCAAATCCAGTGTGTCCTTTGATTTTTAAAATAAAAGATTTGGCAGGAGCATCCATTGAAAATCCATCAATTACAACTTTCATAGCTGTACCATTAATATTTATACCATTCATTAATAAATGATTTGTCTCAATAAAAAACTCTTCCAGATATTTATTAGAATCGTATGGTTTTTCATTTCCCCAATAAACACCAATTGGAAACACTGCATTGTTATGAGGCCGAATATATCCCAAAATTGGCCAAAATGCACTATTGCTACTTTTAGAAATGGGCAATCCGTCAATCCCAATAACAATTTTTATCACATCTACATTATTAGTTGGATTTATTAAAAAATGTCTTTTAATAGCAGAAGCTAGACCAAAATGATGATATAAACCAGGTTCGATGACTGTCATGTTATTAGTTTCACATACTTGTCTTGTTTTAAGCACAGATCGAGAATCTTTAGGAAGTTTTTCCAAACCAGGAATTTCTTTCAAAATTGATAACAATCCATTTAATGCATTATGAGGAATATTATACAGTAAAGCCCATGCAGCTAGATTATTTTTTATTTTATGGTGTAATGAAATAAATGCTTCATTACTATCCATAATTTCCAATACACAATTATCATTTTGAGCAAACTAAAAAATAAATATAATATGTATGAGGATATACCTAGGTATTTAATATTGATAATAGTTACATAATATTATAACTAATATTTTGTAAAATAGTACTAGAAATGCACACACATCTGGAGAAATGTTTCCTTTATTAAAGTTATTTTCTTCAAAAACTTCTGTGATATTATGCTCTATAGTACAATCATTTCCATCAACTACACATGTTAAATTATGAGATTCAGTATTGGTTGTTAAATTTAGAGATCTATTTTCTTCAATGTCATACAAAAACTCTAGTTCCTCTTTCACTCTTCGGCGCTTAGTTCTTTTACTTGTCATAGTTTTTAAAATTTACTTTGCATCTATCTGGATATCTATAATATATAGGTACATTTATTTAATTTAAACATAGTTTCAAAATACTAATAGGTAATTTTATACACTGACAAACATTTATCCCCTATTGCAATTATTATAATAATATTATGTAGGTACCTACCTATAAACCTAATAGAATGTATTTTTCAAAATTTTCCAATTATGTAATAATCAGCATATTATTATAAATAAATAAAAGTTAATTCAATAGTTGGTAAAATATATTATAGACGGTACACCAATAATGAACAATAATAATATAAAATAAACTTACAGTGAATTAAGATATGTACTTACCTCTTTGCTTCTTTATAATATTATGGTTGGACAATGGACATAATATATCATCATACGCAGACTTGATATGACTTGAGACTACACGCACTGTCGTCAGTAGACAAATGAGTGAATTAATGTCTGCCAACACGTCACACGTGTTGAGTACTTGACACACGAAAAAATTGAGAAAGGTGGCGTCGATTGTTTTGTTTGTGTTGTTGACTCAACAAAAAAGTACGTCAGCGACGGCAGACGAGCGACGCCAAAATAAAAACCACGCAATAAGTAATAACGCGACTACGACGACGACTGCTGCACGGGAAAAACAATCGGCGACACGTCACACGTGTTGAGTACTACCAAATAATACGAAAATACGAAAATATGTCGTCGTTTGTGTTTGACCAGAACGGTACGCGAAGTCGCGAAAGGCTAAAGCGAAACAAAACCGTACAAAACTCAAAAAGAATGAGAGCAACGATGTCAAGAAGGAACGACGGCAAAGTTTTTGACGCGAATGTTAGGTACCAACCCCCCGCCGACTAATTGGTACAGAAAGTTGTGACCGTCATGGTATAATATGCACTATAACCACCACTTATAGGTATATATTAATATTTTAAATTATATAATAATTAATAATATATAATATATAATATATTATAATAATGATAGTTTGGAGTTTGGAGTGTTTGGACTGGTGTTTTTCTGGTTGACGATTGTGCGTTGTATAATTCACTGTATAATCACTCGGAGCTTCCAAAATACCAACTAAAAATAGTTATTTTAATAAGTAGACGATGGTACGAAACGGACGTTACGATAACGTTTCGGCCGTTGCGTCCCAGGGCTCCGGACGCTCCGGCTGTAATATTATTATTGCAACCGCATAATATTATACATGTATATACGTGTCACGTGAAGGCCATGATATAATAGCGATTACGAGAACGACGATAATAACGGCGTTATTACAAAACAAAAAATGTGTACTTATTACTTAGTATTTGTAAACTTACTTAAGTACCTATTCATTGATTAAGTCATTCAAGAACTTTATTTAATTACAGTTATAATTTATTTAAACATGATGTACATCTGAGTATCCGACATAATATGACAATGAACTTACAACAGGCTGTACAAGACGTGTAAAAGATTATATATATAGAAACTAATAGCGTTTTCGATTTAACAATAAAAGTGTGCACTGAAATTGAACTGACACTACACTAGTGCACGGTGCACTATGCACTCGTTTATTCTTAATCGAATACGAAAAGATATGATTACATGTTTAATCATGGATGAATAAATCATCATGGATGAAATACATGTTATAACCATTTTTAATCATGATAAATAATATTTTGACCCCTCAATAGAGAAGTTAAGTTCATAGTAATAAAAACACTCACAAAATCGGCGGTGCAGAAAGTGCGCACTGAGTGCACACGAGGGTTGCACTGCAATCAAATCGAATACAAAACACTCCACCAGTTCACAGAATATTGATCAAATCGAATACGTTTTTGCACTCAGTGCAAAAAGTGCGTCAAATCGAAAACGCTATAACCTTAAACAGTTAAACATGATATCTTATCAGCTATTAACATCTTATCATTACAGTATTATAGTAATAATAAAGTATAAATAAAATACTATATACCTAATATAATAATGTTATATTTACTTGATAAATTAGATGATTTATTCTGATAATCTAATGAATTACCAATGATATTAACAAAATACATTATTATGTTATGCGTACTTATATCTACGTAATCCAGGCAATTCAGCAGCGCCACGACGAGCTAAGTTCTGTATAGGGAAATCTATATCTCGAAACTTAATGCACTTAAAATGTACTATATATGCATATACTTATGCGCTTAAAAAAGTACAACATAATATGTGCTTCAAAAATATGCACATATATTTTTTTTTTAAATACGGTTCAAATATATCTGTAGCGTAGGTATGCCGTATTCCATACATGACACGTCATATCAACTAACTACTTGGAATTTGAGAATCATATGATAAATATATAATATATATATTATACATATATACCTATATATCATTGTTATAGTGTCGTGAAAATAATTTCAAGCTCACTTATAGCAATAAATTGAATATCCCAATAAAGACATGCAAATACAACAACTTCCGATTCCTAATTATTATGTAGGTACTAAAATTATATAGGCGTATCGCGTATATATTATTATATTATCTCAAAGCAGAAGGATTTTCCAATATTTAAACTGTATACATAATATATTATATTGATGTTTTTATTTGAAGCAGATACCTTATTTATAATATTATTTATTTAACTAATTCAATATTAAACCAGATTAATTCAATCTAAGTAAATTACCCATTACTAAATGGTTCTGAGGCCTGTGGTAAACGTATATTATTATGTAAAATATGTATATATTTTTAAAGAGTGCGTAGGCTATCGGGTAGTCCCTTATTTAATTTAGGTCCACCACATAATATTGAAATTTCTATTAAATGAATTTATTGTTTATGCGAATGTGTGGTTTTCTATTTTTTTTATATAAACTTAATAAATTATAAGCAGTTAATGATTTTTTTGAAATGTTGTAACAATAATTATGTTCTATATAATATAATATAGTAACAAATGCTGTTGCTCCATTAAAATAAACAGTTATAGATTTTTTTTTTTTATTCATTTTGTACTTTTGAAGGAATTTTATATTGTGTATAGTTTCATACCGTTTCAATTGTTTCAGATGGTATTGCTAGATTAGCTGTGTATCGATCCAGCTGGTTATATTATATCTAAATCTATATTTTATTTAACTTTTTTAAGCCTCGGCCACTATAATATAATATATTATTATGGCCATTATATACCATCACCTTTATTATTTTATTATTTTATTATATATTATATATTATTATTAATTTATTTCAACCTTTACAGCACCTATTAATAGAATATTTAATTAAACTATTTATAAAATATTTATTTTAAGTTCCATTAGATTATAATAATTAATAATATATTTGTCCTGTAAATATTTTTTATTTACCTCTGCAGTATATTTAAAAATGTATTTTTAAATTATTGACAAAACATTTGCGAAATAATATTTATTAAAACTGCTATTATAATTATCCTGGAAATATTTGTCTAACAACCTTCGTAGTATATAGAAGAAATATCATTTAACATTATTGATAAAATGTTTGTAAAATAATATTTATTAAATGTTGTAATATTATAGTTTCGAAAATATTTTCATGGAAACATTAGAACAATATTTAGAAAACATTTTTATTAAACCACGTGATGAAATATTTTATAATCATAAGAAGAAAATATTTACACAATATTATAAGTGAAATATTCAATATTTTATCACTTTAAAATATTTACAAAATATTATCATTTCCTAAATGCTGTGTGGGACTTGATTAAGTGCATGCACACTTCATAATATTATAGTAGTTAATTGTTAAGTATACAGCCACACAGGTCAGATATAAACTATATAAACAAAACAAAAGTATATTATAATAATGTATAATGTAGTTTTAATTAATAACCATTTATCATAGTAATATAATGCATAGATATATAATATATATTATGTGTAAAAAACAATGTTATTGGATAATTTAAAAAATTTAAATATAATATACAGTGTGATCACGCTAAGAGGTACCACTAAATATTTCAGAACGATGACCTTGTATAGAAATGGGGTTTTCACTATTTGAAAGATAGTACTTAAATACACATTTATTTATGATTTTCAAATTTTTAACACTTATAGTGTGCGCATGCGCAATTCAACTTACATGTTTTTTAATGGAAACACTACTTTTTTTCTACATATTCGGATACATTATTTTCTTTTTAATGTTTTTTGTATAAAAAATTTTCTTCTATTTGCAAAACTGACAAAGTTATAGAAGTCGACATTTGAGTTTTTGCAAATTTGTATAATTTCCATAATTTTAAACAAAATGTTCACTTATAACTACTGGAAATAAAAAAAAAACAGTGAAAAATTAATACTTAATTTACCTTATCTGTTTATAAATAATAATTTAATAATATCGTACGTCGTCCTGATGGATATCCTGAGTACCTGTGTGATATAATTTTTGTTTAGTAAACAATATTACTTTATAACACGATTACAATTTTAACTATTTTTACAGTGGACATTTATTTTATTTTTCAATAGTTCTAAATTCTAATAACGATAAGATAATCAGATAAATAATAATAATAATAATAATAATAATAATAATAATAAAGAAATAATAAATTTGAAGTAATTTAATATTATTTTTAGTGTACAATATTTTTTATTCTCTTAACTGTATTAATAAATTAAATGTACCTATAACAAAATAGTTATTAACTGCTTGTAATAGTTATATGAATTGTATAACAAAATAAATTTATCTTATGAACTGTTCAAAATGTCCACCGTTATGTTCTAAACATGATTCTTCATCTGAACACAATTGACTCATGTTGCTGTAAATATTTATTTCAAGTTAACCAAACACATTCTAAGCAAGGGGGAAGATAAGGAACATTAAAGTCATATAGTAGTGCATCATTTAGTTTATGAAATTTTTTTTTGTATAATGTACTATGTTCTATTAGTAGACAACTATTAGTATCGTTCAGACAACGAGAGGTTGGTAATGAGTTTGACGTTCCACACAATCCGTATCTGCTTGCCAAATATGACGCACACATCAATGTTGAGGTGTGCTCTACCATTAAGTACCTTTATAAATACGTATTTAAGGGTCACGACGCTGCTACATTGGCTATACAAGAAGGCGATGAGTTGTTAAGGTAAGCACATTTAATAATTTCTTCTTTTCACACGCAGAGTCTTAATAGCATTATTGTTTGCGTTAATAAACATAATAATTATACTATAAATTAATAATTATATAAACTATACCCACTTTACAGTGTACATAGTACATGATCATAACCTTTGTATTTAGATTTTTTTTAACCGTCAAACCATTTTTAAATTATACTGTGAAGTGATTAGATACGATTCCAGTATTTAACCTTTATTATGTGTTTACACTTAGCCGTTTAACTACATAATAATATTTTCTGCATTTCTTTCAATTGTACATCACGCATTTTTATGTTCTCACCAGGCCCGGATTAAGGCGTAAGCAGTGTAGGCTTCAGCCTACACAACCATGGATTTAGGGGCACGGGCACCGCACACTATCCTGATGTTTTTTGTATTTAAATACTATCGGAAATTTAATATAGTAATAATAATAATCAATGCGTTTTGTCGTGTGGTCTTCTAAACAGCGTTTTATTTTTAGATTGTTATTTTTCCATAGAACCGGTCTCGCACACCGATTACATGTGTGGAGCCATAGAAACTAGACGGCAGACAATGCGAGTGCGTTGTTTATATTATTTTGTCGTAGCTCGCCGCCGATGGTCACAAATCGGGGAAAATAATATGAAATAGTACTAGTATACAGTATACACGCGTCACGTGCATCGAAAATTCGTCCGTTTGATCGTACGTATATTTTGTTAACACTCTAGTAACTTGTAAATTTACTATAAAGGTTTAACATTAGTGCGAGTAGTGCGTTTTATATATAGTTTAGTGTTCGACATTTATGTAAAAATGGATCAGAAGCGACATATCAGTGGAGCACTAGCAAGAAAACGTGCTAATGATAAGAAAGAAAAAGAAGTGATTTTACTTAGTAAAATACCTAGGTTAAATAACTTTTTCAAACAAATAAGCAACATCACCCCTAGTTGTATTGAAGATAATACACTTGAATGTTCAAATGATATAACTATTACAAATAATTGTTCTACTACTTCTACTTCTATTCAATGTACTGCGTCTTCCTCAGACCAATCGGTTGTTGATCTAAATGACGAATTAGAAAAATCCGAGCTAAATGTCATTTCTAATCCTCTTACACAGAATAACAAAAATAATTTTAAAGATCCAGCAGATTGGACAAATAGTAATACATGTCGTAATTATATTGCAAAATTTGGATATGATCAGAACATTGATGCAGATTTTACCTCATAAAACGAACTTATTCTGATTATGATCGTTATTGTAGTAAATCGATCCTTATGAAAAACCAAAAAAACGGTGAAAATGTTTCACGGAAATGGCTTGTTTATTCAATTTCAAAATTTGTATTATTCTGTGCTCCGTGTAAATTATTTGGATGCAGTACTCAACTGGGAGATGCTGGATTTAATGATTGGAAAAAATGGACATTTAGTTATTTCCAGGCACGAAAATTCTTTGGCACATAAAAATAATGTATTAAGTTTTATTACATTGCAAAGTGATGTAGGTAGAATTGACACTCAATTGGTAACACAAGTCACTGATGAAATGAATTACTGGAAAGCTGTTCTTCATCGAGTTGTTGAAGTAATTAAATTTCTCGGTACAAAAGGTTTATCATTCAGAGGTGATAATGAACAATTTAACAAAATTAACAATGGGAATTTTTTGGGAACGCTAGAGTTACTAGCTAAATTTGACCCTTTTATTGCTCAGCATATAGAAAAGTATGGGAATAGAGGGAAAGGAACTCCGTCTTATTTGTCATCCACAATCTATGAAGAACTTTTACTTTTGATGAAGAATGATATAATTAAAATTATATTAAAAGAATTAAAAACAGCCAAGTATTATTCTTTAATCGTCGATTCTACACCTGATATAGCAAACGTCGATCAACTTGTTATTGCATTAAGATATGTTTTACCAAGTGGTGTACCTGCAGAAAGATTTTTAATATTAATTTCAAACAGTGGTCATAAATCTGAAGAAATGAGCAATGTTGTAATGGATTTTCTTAATTCACACAATATACCAATTAAAAATTGTCGTGGCCAGAATTACGACAATATTTCAGGTCAGTATTCTGGGTTGCAATCAAGCATTAAAAGTTTTAATTCATTTGCAGAATATGTACCATGTTCCGCACATTCACTTAACTAGCTGGAACGTGTGCAGCAGAAAGTTGTAGTTCTGCTACTTCATTTTTGATGCTTCTCCAGGAACTATACAGTTTTTTTTCTTGTTCTACTGCACGTTGGGATATTTTAAAAACATATTTGAAGAACAATCTTAGTGTAAAAAATTTATCAGTAACTCGCTGGAGTGCTCGTTTTGATGCTTGCCATGCTTTATTTAACTCTTATGCATTTATAATTGAAGCTTTGCATAGTTTAGTTGATAATCAGAAAGAAAAAGCTGTATATAAAGTAGAAGCTAATGCATGGAAGCTTAATGATATTCATATGGAATTCAATATTAAACAGGTATTAACATATTTACATATTAATCTTTTACTCTATAAATTAATGATTTTTAAATAAATTATGCTTGCATTTATTTTATTTTAATAGGGTCAATTTAATATATAAATAAATTAAAGTAAAGTTTAATATTATTTCAGTTTTAATGCTCCAAATAAAAAATTACAATCAACTGACATTGATCTTCATACAGTATTAAAACCTATATAATGGCCTTGAAAGTTACCTAGTACAGATCAGAGATGATTTTGATGTTTTTGAAAATAAGGCTGTAGAAATTACTGGTTGTTCCAAGTATGCCAAAGATTCTAAGAGAAAAAAAAAGAGAAAGGTATGTTTAACTTAATAATTTGAAAAAAGTCATAAACATTAACAACATTTATAACTATTTTTTTAGGGTATGGCTGATGAATCAAGATCTCAACCTTTCACAGAAATTACAGGAAAAATAAATTTTATTAGAAATGTATATTATGTGATAATTGATACTCTTAAATGTCAACTTAGTTCGAGAAGACAAGCTTATGAAAAAATATCAGATATTTATGGGTGTATACCCACATTATATAAAACACCGAGTTCTGTTGTTGTAAGGAACACATGTGAAACTTTGGCAAAATATTTTATTGATGATGTTGAAAACTCAAGCTTACTTATAGTTATAGATGAGTGTATTCTTTTTTCAAAATTAATTTCCACGGATAAAAGTGTGAAATCTGTTCTCTCTATGCATAAGTACATCAAGACCAAAGAACTAGAGTTTATGTTTCCAAATTTAGAAATAGTTATGCGTATGTATCTTAGTACAGTAGTTTCAAACTGCTCAGGCGAAAGGGCTTTTTCTATCCTTAAAAGAGTAAAATCCTATTTGAGGTCAACCATGAAGGAGGGAAGGCTGAATGCATTAGCAATATTTAGTATTGAAGCAGAATTGGTTGAAAAATTTTAAGAATACTATCAATACATTTGTCCATCAAAAAGCAAGAAAAAAAAAATTAAAATAATTTTTTATAATATGGTTATTTTATATTTTTATATATCTAAAATATATTTTGTTTAATTTTATGTTTTTATTGTTTGCACATATATACATGTACATATTGATGTGGCTAATAAACCTAAAATAATATTTTATTATTTATTCAAGTATCGAGTAGAGAAATGAGTACAGTATTTTTTTGAAATAGGGGCACCAAATTTTTTACAGCCCATGGGCACTGTAGATCTTAATCCAGGCCTGGTTCTCACAGTAGGTGTAGATAAATACATTCATTGAATTCTTTCACATGACATACAAACAATTTTACAGACTTGATTAATGTACATGTTATAGTAGTAGATATGAGTTGTATTATTTGTACGTTTTTCCACGGTAATTTTTTTTGTTCAAGCGGGAATGTTCCGCTCGGACGACTCAGAATTACCGTATCACACAATACGGTAATTTCACACTCAGTGTCCACCTGTTTACACCTCACACGAAAATATTTACCGTGTACGCATTTTTTTTTCCATGAAACCTTACTAAATTAATATTTCAAGAAAAAAAACACAAATTATTAAATAAATTTTTTTTTATTGTTATATATTAATATTATATTTACACAAGTTTTCTTACTTCTCTAGTAAAAGGTACATATTCTACGATACGATCATGAATTAATAAACAATAAGCAGTTACACCTGTAAAGGATTCCGATGCCTCAATTTCCAATGGAACATCCACTGCTGAGGCTGTAGCCGAATCATTCTGTTTCGAAGTATCGATAACTATAATCGGAGCGTTTGATAGAAAAGTGGAAGGACTCAATATCGGGTTCCGTATATTTTTTTCATAGTACGATTCTTGAAAAGATGTATACATATCATATAATAAGGTAAAATTATTTTTTGCAAAATCCAAATTTAAATTATCATACGGATAAGCTATCGAGTTTAGAAATACTTTAACGTTTGTTAGATTACAATGATCAAATATACTACTATCTTTTGAAAACGAATTTTTACGTCCCTTCTGCAATAAAATTATGATAAATCGTGGTTTTTCTAATTTTGAAGCAGTTTTCAAGTTCCATACAACTTTTTTAGTAGTCCCGAGTTCAGGATATTCAAAAGTTTCAAAAAATCTAAAAGGTATAAACAAACTTTTTTCTCTTTCTACAAGTTTCAATAATTTTAACCGTTCTCCATCGTCAACAGTGATATGTGGGACCTTCCATAATATTTTGTTTAAAGTAACTTTGAGCTGTAGATGCAACTATACCACTTTTAAAGTTTAACGCATTTAAATCAGTATAACTTCGAGTTAATATTAATTCCAATCTTGAATTATCCAATATTTTTTTAAAGTCTTCAAACAAACCTAACCAATATTTCAATGGAATACAAGCACTAAATTCACCTTTTTCATTTGATGATTGTGTTCCGTTTTTAAAATTCCAGCCTGCATTTTCATAACAATTATAGTTGTCTGGTGTACCGGATAAGTAACCTTTTAACGAGCTAGTGATTCCAAGAACACGTGTACTATCTACTTCTATCCCATTGATTTCTAATCGTATTTGTTCAAAGAGGTAAGAGTAACCATTATTAGATAGTTTCACTTTGTCAGCTTCCGAAATCATTCCTTCTAAATAAATAAAGCTTTCGTACAGATACGGATAAACATCTGTTTGCTGGATTGATATACGTATCTCGTCATTATTATTAAACGATATTGTATACGGCGTAAATGAATGATATTCAATTTTCGTAATTCTAGAATCCGTTTCATACCGTGAACCTATATCTAAAATATCACTCTCAGGCATTCTGCTGTAGTTGATAACCCAAAGCTTGTAAATTTTTTTTATTTTTTCCTGTCAATTTTTTAACTTTATTTGATGTTGCTAGTACCACTTTAGTCTTACGACTAGTTGGTTTATAAACGCGTTTAGTATATCCATAGTTGTCAAATTTCATATAGTTTTTAATTACATATTTCTTTACACCTTTCGCTTTTTTTTCTTCAACATCGTCTACAGTTTTATATGCATACAATTTCGGTCTCAGTGATATGAATTCTTTCAGAATAATTCCTTTCATTTCATCTTTGAAATAACCAGGTTGATTTTCATGTATTTCGCTAAAACAATAGTGGTCTTTAGGGTAATTAGATGTATCGAAATATGGTAGTAAACTATTTTTTAAATCATTGAAAAAATGTGTTGTCTGTATAGCATATATTAAGGAATCAGTATCCGAATATAAAGAAGTAATTTTAGAACCATATTTTTTCTTCATTACATTATAATGAAAGTCATACATAAATGTTTTTGAAACGTCTAAAATTGCGAATCTTACATAAATTGCTTTATCGAATTTAATAGTCTCCTTATGCTGATGAATAGCCATAAGATTCTTGGTGTATATAGTCCTATCCTTAAAACTAGTTTTTGCCATTAATTTCCTTGCCTTTTTCTCAGATGAAACCAGTTCTATAGCAGTTCTAGAACGAACGTTTTCCATACATTTCCCAAAGACACTATTAATTAACAACTTCCAGAAATTTTTTTCAAATTCGTTTTTAGCCTCTACTCTCATATTTGTACATAACTCAATGTATGATGCCATCCATTTACTTTGAGAAAAGCTGATAGCTCGGTGGATTTTCGTTACTATAATACCGTTTTCAATCGCCTGTTTCAAGTTTTTATAATGTATTATATAGTTTTTTTTCGATGATAGTGTAGTAAGTAATTTCTTTACTTTCGAATTTGGTGGACATCCACTAAAAGGTAAAAATGGGAAATCATTATGGGTTTTATGTAAATGTTTAGGATACTCGATATCAACTTCTAATATGTAACCAACTTCCGAATCATCAGCAATTTTAGTTACATCTATGTTGAGATCGTCAACCCATTTAAAATCTTTAAAAGGTAATTCTGTTAACATAGACTTTCCATACAGATTTACACAGTCGAGATATGTAATCCATGTAATCGGTTCATTTGAATTATAATTCAGTCCTTTAATATTTGGTATATTCGCTTTAGCGTATCTTTTAGTTGATTGACAAATACCTCCTCGAATAGATTTTTCAAAAAAAAGTAGCATGTTATAATCCTTTAACCTTTCCAACTTAACGTCTGTATACTTAAGCATACAATCAAAAGCAAATCCAGGAGCTGTCATATAATGAGCAGGATCTAGTGCGAGAGTAGATATACATAAGTCTCTAAAATTTTCGAATACATCAGCTAGTATGGTAACATCAGTTCTCAAATAAAGATCGCTATATTCACCTAAAGTCTTAATATTAAATGTATCCCATATAATTTTTGCGTGCATATAATCTTCATCGCTAATTTTTTCATCCGTTAAAGAGTTATAAAATTCAGACTTTGATGGTAAACAAGTGTCATCTAATTTACTCCAACTATTAACATATTCATAAGGGAAGACTCCTTTCCGTGTAACTAGATCTAATGCTTTCTTAGAAAATATTTTAGAAGTTTCTCTAAACCTTGATTTATCTTCAGACAAATTAGTTGCAAGTTTACTTAATGACTCACTCATAAAACGGAATGTGTCAACAAATTTTATACTAAATTTGAATGCGATTTCCTTGCTAAAGGATATATATTTTTCTGATGAATTAGGTATAACGTGAATATTTTTATTATCAAACGCTAATTGACGAATAATGAAATGGCTGTCATATGATAAATTATGAAAGAAAATCGGAACGAATGATGGATTAGTTATTTCGAAATTACATTGAAGGCAAAGGCATTGTCTATATTTACCAGTAAAATGACAGTGATCTCGAACTTTAATTAACTTATTTTTTTTGAAATGTTTTAAACATTTTTCACAAAACTTAGTTCTTTGAAAATGTTTTTCTTCTTCTTCAGTTAATTTATTCATTGGAGTATTTGATTGATAAATTTGATTGATATTCTTTCCAATATCGACCATATTTTCCATAAATTTTTTTGCAGCATTTTCACCTCTTAACACAGTCACCTTCCTAGGAATTTTGAACTGCTTTACTAACTCTTTTGATATAATGTCATAGTCAACTTTTACATAAAACCCATAACTCATAATTTCATGTAAATGTGTAACATGAGTTTTAGATTTTTTACAACTTTGAATGAATTCATCAGGTTGTTTAGGAGTTAAAAATACATTCAAAATTAGCGTAAATAATAATTGGTATTCTCCGAGTTTTTTTATAGCTTTTAAAATAAATAAAATCATCATCACCCTTTTCAAACATAATTGTTCTACCTAACTGATTCTTTCTGCAACTACGCTGATGTTCAATTAAACCTTCCATACCCCAGAGTTGCTTTCACAAGGTTTTCTCCCGAAAATGGTAAAACATCTCTTACAAACAATTAACTTAGAACAATTTTTAGTTTTCTGACTTCTAATGAATCTTGAAAAATGTTTGATATAGCAATAATGTGATGTGTTGTCATTACTAAACAAAAATAGATCGAAATGTTTCTTTCTTTCAGTATTACATATGTATAGTGGAAAAATAAGTTGTTTATGATTTAAACTATAAATATTGATTGATACACTGTTAATACGTTCAAATTTTTTCATCTGACTAATTGGTGTTGGGAAATCGATACACTTAAAATCTAAACCGCTTTTTTTTTCTAACATTTTAAAATGTTTTTCATTAAAATAAGATTTATTCGAACGATTATTAAACTTAGATAATATTGCATATTTGAAACATTTACTATCGCTATTTTTTACATTTATTACAGCTTTTTTATCTTTAATAAAATTAGGTAAATCTAGATACGTTCCTACTCTGAGAGGATTTACTATATTAATTCTTAATTGTAATGCGACTATCGACTTGAGCGACCAATTTGAACCTTTCAATAAAAATTCCTGTTCCTCACGTAATAATTTATTAAACATTCCTTCTAATAATTTATTGAAATCGGAGGAACTACACGTAAGTATGTTAGTATTTTTGAATGCTTCTACTACTTTAGAAGTAAAAGACTAAAGAATACAGAAAAAAAACCTAAAAAAAAGCAGACGAAAATGGTGAGATAAAACATTTTTATGATGTTAGCATAAATTATTTATTTATTCTTTTTTATAATATTTTTTATAGGCTACATCATCATCATCATATAGGGATAACGTTATTGATCTTTTTATATTAGAAGATTATGAGGAAGAAGTAACAAATTCACTAACTTCCCTTCAAGGTGATGGGCTTATCACCACTAAAACTACTTTTGAGGGCAAGCCGACCGATTACTGGGTCTTGACTCATTATAAAAGTTCGAATATTGTGAATGTCGCACTTAAGGATGTTCAAATAAAGGAAACACTTTTTGTATCTGTTCAACAGTACGATTCTATTTTTACTATTGTATGTTTATGGATGGCGTCATTCGGAAGCATCAGTGAAGATCTTCACAAGCGATAAATCAAAAGACCAATCATTGAATAGTAGTCTGAATCAGACTATGCAGGCCGTATTCGATACAATGCTGCAGGATCCAGATCGCCGAACAATAAAAAGCAAAATAACAGTTTGAGTGTTATATGTATAAAAAAATAAACTTTATTTAATCAATAAACAATATATATATATACATATATATACATTTGTATTCATATTAATAAATTCTGTAATATAAGCTCTGACATTGTATTGAAATGGTATTGCAATATTTCATACAAAAATGATGTGTCATCGTTTTGTAAATAGGAATAAGATTGAAATCATAGTTTTGAATATACTGGTTTTTGAATTCGTTCCTCTGGCAGCTGATTGGTAGACCACGTACATCATTTTTGATCAGTTCGTAAGCAGTATCAAATGTTGCCTGAAAACTCTGTAGTCGTTTCTGTTTTCTGCTATATACAGGTCAATGCAGTGTTGTAATTGTTTTAATCTACAGAAATCTATATGTGATAATGTAATATATTCATCATTTATATTCAATGTAATTGAACTTTGCTTCGCATTAATTGAGTATGTTAAATCATCAGTTATTTTCACACGTTTACATCTGGTATTTAAATTATTAGTAATAGAAACAAAGTTTGATTCGGACATCAGGGTAAACCATTGCTGTAAATTTAGTGTAATTATCTTTTTCGTTAACTTGCATTCAAATGATACAATAATCGAAATTTGTTTACTAATTAATAAACCAACTGTCACACTCTTCTTACCAAATGGACGGATGTCAAAAGTTGATTTCGACACAGTTATTGCTGGAGCCATGACGAATATTGTTTTGTTAAATAAATGAAAAAAATAAGGTATAATATGTCTGATAGAGGATATAATTTGAACTAACAGTTTTTTTCTTCTGTAAGCATATTATATACTAAACCTTGCAGATTTATTTAAGATTTTTATAGAAAAAAAAGTGCAAAAAGTGTGAACGCACGACATAGCCGATTATCGATTCCAGGAGGGGGGGGGGAGAATTACATATACTTACTTACCTGAAATTATTTTAAATTAAACTACACGCGTTAATCCGCTAAGCCATGCTCCCACGAGATATTAAATCAAATATTAACACATATAAGTCGTTTACAAATCAATATTTTTATTTATTACTAAGTATGACATATACATAATTTAACAAACTTTATCGTGTGACATATTTTCACAAGTACACATATTATGTTCAGTTTTAAAATATTTAGCTAGTATTTTTTGAACAAACTGATTTCCTAGCATTAATAATACATAAATACAGTTTGGGTTGTATCTGCAATGTTCGATCCATGGATTGTCCAGCTTTTCCCAATTATGGAGAATAAGCCCGCAGCAGAAGCATTCAACGATATCATTAATACCAGAATATTTTAATCCGCACTCAGAAAGATCGTATTTATTTTGAAAAGAATTTTCAGGAAATTTTTTGTAAGTTTTTAAACGTGAATGGAAAGAAGAAAATTCTGGATACGCTAGAGTCGAATTACTTCGTACACGGTAAACTAATGATTGAAAATCGTTGATATATTTTTGTTAATTCATTTTTTATAAATTGATTAAGTAACTTGAGAAAACACAACTTCACCAAACAACGAATCATTTATTACTGAATAATAAAAAAAAAACGAGTAATTTAAAAAAATTCAGATATAAAAAAACAAATTATTTCGTAATTAATAAGTTGCTTATCAAATTTGAAAAAACAGTGTAACCAACGTGGATAAAAAAATATAGTTTTGTGTACACGGTAAATATTTTCGTGTGAGTGGTAATTAGGTGGACACTGAGTGAGAAATTACCGTATTGTGTGATACGGTAATTCTGAGTCGTCCGAGCGGAACATTCCCACTTGAACAAAAAAAATTACCGTGGAAAAACGAACTGTGAACATACAAATATATACTACTATCCTGTGTTAATACAACATAAAATTCTTCATCTAAAATAGTAATAATTTACTAATTTTATTCCATTACAAATACAATTACAATAATCATATTCAAAAACAAACATACAAATATAATATTAAAAATAATAATACAATTACAATAATAAACGTCAAAAAAATAATACAAATATAATATTAAAAATAATAATACAATTACAATAATCATAGTCAAAAAAATAATACACAGTTTACAAATTAATTTATTCGTCTGAAAAAGATCTGACGTCGTTATCTGAGTACAAGTCCGATTCTGAGTCCGAGTCATCGGGGCCCAGATTGAAAACACATGGTTCTTGTTCAGCCGTCAACTCATCAACAACGATGTCCATGTTCCATAATGTCTTCCTCGTCAACTACATGTTTCATAAAATTTTTCCATATCTCAGAATCTACCCTTTGGAAGCCTTCAATTAATAATCGATTGACATTATGCAGCTTGAAAGTGGTATTATTCTTTCTCACATAGTTTTTTATACTGGACCAGGCGAGCTCAATCGGATCGAGCTCGCAATGATATGGTGGTAATCGAAGTATATCTTTATTATGTGTCTTAACCATTTCATCTATGACGTATTTGTTATCCATTGGCTTCAGTCTATAGACAATCGGAATTAGTTCTTGAATAACCATGGACGTGTCAACGACCTCTCCTTTGCTCTCGAGCCACGCAATAATATCGGCTTTCCTTGTGTTAACATTTGGGCACTTGTCTTGTTTTACGGAGTGATAAGGGGCGTTATCCATAACAATAACAGCGTTATCTTTGAGCCTAGGCAAAACACTTTCGAACCATTCACGAAAACATTCACCATTCATTTCATCGTGATAGTCTTGAGTGTTTTTTTTAGACTCAAAGCATAACAAACTGTCAGGGACGAATCCATCTTTGGAACCTTTATGGTAAATAAGACAAACAAATAAGACGTTTCCCCTTTCCACTTGGTTTTACTGCACCGGTTGTAAGTCCCTTTGAAGTCACGTCTATTGCTGATTTGACTGATTTATCACACCAAACTTTGTATGGAACGTCACCAGCATTGACCCAAGTTTCGTCCAATTAATATATTGGTCAACCCTCCTCTCGATATCGCTGTATCGCCCTTAAATATTGCCTACGCCAATCAACAATTTCGGTTTTCTCTATTAAAGCGCTATTACGACCTTCCTTCATATTCATATGAATAATAAATAATAATCAGAATAGATTTTAATAATCGATATATTGAGGTACGAGAGAAATCGGGTAATTTTTCATCTTCGTTAACAACTTGAAGTATTTTGTCTAACGTCGAGAACTCACGGTCAGACCAAAATGAATGTATCATCCGTCTTATTGCGTATTTATCAAAATCATCTACCTTATCCTTCACATTTTTAGTCTTTTTTGTTCAATTAGGAGATGAAATTCTTTTGGACCGTTTGTACTCCAAGATCGTTTGATAAATAGTTCGAATTCCAATTCCCAGTTGTTCTGATATTATTTTTTTTTCAGATGAACCATTTTAGCGTTTGGGTTTTGAATGATATGGGGTTTGTATGCATTTATAATACATGTCCTTTGGCCAGACGACACAATCTGAAAACAAAATATTTTCATATGTTATCAAGTATAGGAAATAATAAAATAAAATATAATGGAAATTTCACCGACATTAACTAAAGAAAAACTAATAAAATATAAATTTTTATACGCCTATAAATAGTTTTACATGAGTCAAAATATTATAGTACACCTACCTATACAGAATACAAAAATGAAAAATTTGAATGACCATAAATATCTTTAATAAATATCCAAATAAAAATAAACATTATTAGTAGTTTAGAAAGCGTCAGAAAAAAACAAAAACCGTTTATTCAGTACAATTTAATATTTATTTATAAAATATTTTTTTCTATAAATACCGATAAATTAAACTATCAAACATTTTTTAAAGTTTAATAGAAGATTTACGCAACACCGATTTTCGACAAAATCGATTTTGGTTTTTGGTGTAACTCGAAAACAAATGACCTTAGGTACATAAAATTTTGACTGAATGTTTATATAAGCAGTTCATACACTCCATAACATTTTCAAAATATTTTGAATTATTTTGAGGTGTTTACCGTCATTTTTAGTTTCCAATTTGTTTAGTTTTTTTTCTATAAATATCAATACAATATTATTTTTTTGAGTAAAAATTCTTGAAAATTTAATAGCAGGCTCCTAATTTTTTTGTAATAAAAGTTAGATGAAGAATATAAAAAATCCATAGTCTATCTAAGCATGTAAAGTTGAAATTTTGACAAAATACGCAAAAAGTTAGAAATTCATAAAAATTTTTCTTTTTAAAACGTGATACAAGATTAAGCATAAGTTTTTCTACTTTCATCAAAAATAAAATATCTAAAAGTAAGTTAAAATAAATTTTTATGAACGTTTGAAGTTCATAATTTTACAACATTGGATATTCACTCGATTTCTCATGTATCGATTTTCTTATTTGGTTGTAATTAAAAAACGAATCATTGTAGGTGCATGAGAATTTAACTGAATGTTTATATACTCATTTTCCATATACCAAACAATTTTGATTTGTTTTGAGTTTTTTAGACATTTTCAATTTTTTAATTTTTTAATTTTTTTTTTTTAAATAATTATCAATAAAATTTTATTTGATGGGTCAAAAAGTCTGAAAATGTAATACGAGGTTAATGATATATTGATAGAATAGCAGTTGAAAAATATTGAAAATACATACGCACGATTTTTTTTTTTAATAAGCAAAAAATGACCCCGGTTGGCACCAATACGCTCGCACGTAAAGTGGCGAGCCCTACATTGTCTACAGACTGCATTCAATGCTCCTATGTCGTGTGGTTCAGGTAGTGGGAGCTGAACGCCAGCCGGTCGGTCTATCAACGGCGCGCGTGCCGCCAATGGTTGTTTCACCTGCGATTCAAGTGATTTAGTATTGGATTTTGGTTTGGTTCATCAATATTTGTGATAATATAAAATATTTTCTAACCTCTTCAATGACGTAAAGTGGAGAAACGTCAAAGACACCAACAAAGTCATCATCGTCTGGTAACACTTCTACTTGAAATGGTCCTTGTTCATCTCCGTTCATGAGGACATCCATAATTTC